ATCAGGATACATGAGGATAGGGCTCTGATTCCTACAGAAATACTAATCCTTTGCCAGGAGAAAATAGAAGATAATGGGGATGAGAGGTCTCTGTTATCATTTTTGCAAGAGAGTGGAATGCAAGACCTAATTGTGAATTTAGCTTAATTTTCAGTGGCAATTCTGGAGATGCACAATCAGGAAGTCACCTACAGTTCTCTTTTCACAATCCCAAAAATTTCCTATCCTTTGAGTTAAAGGAATTGATTTACTTGGGGTACAATCACTAGGCATGCATCAACCTGCCCATCTGAACTTTGTTTTGTGAAAGGTTAGTATTGTGCTAATAAAAGAACATTAACAAATACGGAAAGGAAAGTAGGAAATTGTATCTAGCCTGGGCTGTCTCAGTCAAAAAAATAAGTATTCATCTCTTTTGCAAACTGATTTCTTAGCTTCATGTGAGAGGAGCGAAGGAATTAACTGCTGATAAATAAACAAGTCAGTCTCATGGCAATTGCTAATGGGAGCGATTTGCTTTTGAAGATGCCATTCCTAAGAGAGATTGAATTTAACAAAACATCTTGCATTTCAGAAAAAACAACAAATCTCCTTTCACAGAATATGGACTAACTTTTCCTAAGGATCTAAAGCTTCAGCTCCCCCTGCCCCACCAAGGGTGCCACTTTTCAGGAAAGAAAAGTACACATAAAAACCTGTAGCTGCTCTTTGAGTTAAAGTAATATGCACGATTCTAACTTAGAATGTATCATCCTAATTGTAAAGAAAGCAATATAACTAAGAAGAGAGTCAAATAGGAAGAATTATTATTATTTTTTTTTTTCTCTCAATACAGGAAGCACTTACCTCAATTAGAAAACACTGTGTTGGGATCATTTCCACATTTGTCTAATTATAGAACAAGGAAATTAAAAAGTTTTTTGTTTTTTTTTTGTTTTTGATTGTACAACATTTTCAAAGAGACATACTTTCATATCCCCAATATATTAGATAACCAGAAGATCTCAGAGCTTACAGAGATGCTGTGTTGCCACCCTCTTCCCAGGTACCGTTGTCATCTGGGGTTGTGGCAGTACTGGGGGTTTCCACCCTCTGCCCCAGGACAGCACACTGCAAGTCACCATGATGATATGGGACAGGAACAAAGGTATTTTACCCATAGAAAGTCCCCGTTCTTCTAGGGAGCAAACCACAAAGCAGCTGCTTTTAGACACAGCACTTTGTTTCTGCAGAACGTAGGGAGTGCCCTGGAATCAGAGCTTTTCCCTCCACCCGAAGATAGGTTTGAGGCTGACCAAAGGAAATGCTCTCTTTGACATAGACTGGCTCCTGCCCATGTTACCTCATGAGATATTTGTCACCTGTCCAGCTATAAAAAGCAGGTGATAAGAACATGCCAGCATCTTGTACCAAAGGTTTTATATCAGGCAACAAAGAAAAAAAAAATCTTCAGTTAAGGGAGAAATAAGAGGTTAAAAGTGTGTTGATCTTTAATCAGTGTCCTGAGTACACCTTGTGGTCTGTGAAAGCCATTCTATTAATGAACTGTTGCTGCCATCTACTGAGCACAAAAACTGCATATCACACAGATCAACACAGCAGCTAGCTATGGAGCGGGAAACTGGTCACTTGGCTGAATTAAGGTTTTCACTAGAACAAAAGTATTTCTGTATAGAATTTCAGGACGTGCATCTACTTTAGACTGTACCTGTCCCTGTGGGAAGTACTGAATTCTTCTTTGGGGTTCGGAGCCACTGGGGAACTGAGAAATGTGAGTTTTGTAAAGAGCACCCAAAATGTGAAATACATTGCTGTTAGTAAGAAAGTTTGCACAGCTGCAGATTTTATTTTTTTTAAATAATGTTAATTTTCTTTGGTGATATCACATCAAACTCCATCTTTGGTGAACCTGAATTCTCATCCTCATATAAGTAGGGAGTTTCTAGTTGAAAAAGTGCTGGCATTGGCACTGTATTTCTTCCAGGATAATGAGGGGCAGGACTAAAGCCAAGCAGGCTGCCAAGGAAGTTCTCCTTGGTAGGAAGAGCTGTCACAGTCCCCTTGCTTTGCTTTGTCCAGAGACTGAGGCAGTTCTGGATCACACCAGAGGCTGCCACTGGGTTTGAACGGGGCATACATACATACACATATGCAAGTGTTGTTGTTTGTTTGTTTTTTTCCAAGAATAAAGCAGACTAACACACAAAAACAGCAACCAAGTCAGTAAGTGCAAGAACTACAATTCCATCATCTGGTTGCAATATAGAAGAAAACATGTGCAAGCACACATTGCTAACCTACAAGGACATTGATGGCCCTGCGGGTAAAGACAGCTCTATTAAATTCAATGTGAATTGGACACGTTTGTTTCAGAGATGTTTTTGGCTTGTTAAGGGATATCAGAAGGCTGGACATTGGGAGTGAAAAGTGGCAAAGAACAAGGGAGCTGCTGGTCTCAGCAGGCACTGCATTTGGCTGTGCACAGCATCAGTGCAAGAGCATGGTTTGGTGTAAGAAGCGAGACTGTGGCTGCAAGGACAGCTGCTCGTGTCTAAGGTAGCAAAGCGATTTAAAAGGATAAAATAAAATAGGAATCTGGTTCTTTTTCTCAATTTGAATTAGGGGAATTTAGGAGTGAAAGGACTGAATTCAACGGAATTACACTAGTGAGAAAAGCAAATTGGCGTCACCTGTGTCCTTCTGCAAAACCATATATTTCCATAGGAGGGAGCTTCTTGCCCACGAAGCCCACTGCTAGCGCGCAGGGAAAGGAAACAGCAGCGCTCCCCGGAGTTCTCCTGTTCTGCCAATCGTAGCCTGAGCCGCTGCTAGGAATTACAGCGAGAGCTGGTAGTGAAACGGTTAACAAATAATGATGATTGTCAGAGCTTGTTAACCGCAGTTATTTTCAAGACATATGTAAATGTGTATAAATACCTAAGTGTGGTATATAATCTAAAACATACTGTTTAAATCTATGAACGTTCCCGAGTTAATTTCACTATGAGAACGTTAGTTGCAGCTTCCTGGATTTACTGTGTTTGAATTCATACCCATGAACATTAAATTAAAATTAGTCTAAATATTTGTTGAGAATTAATCACCTGATAAATTTAGCTCTTTTTCATTGTTATGAATTATTCATCATCTCCTCTCCCTTCCGTTGATGTGTTTGGTTATTTACAAGAATTGAATTACCAGTTTGTGTTTCAAAATCTAACATTCCAGGTGATTTGTAAGGTGTTCCCCTTGGAAACTGTTCTTACCACGAGCATTTTACGGTACTTCTCTGCTTCTTGAAGAACTCACTGAAGTTTTTGAGAGAAGCATAAGTAAGTTCATACAGGAAATACTTTGCAACAAAATGTTTTTGTTTATGTCTTGCATGTATATAATGAATGCTGGCCTCAGTCCATCAAACCAGCCTACCCAGATTCCTCTGTAGGGTCTTCCTACCCTCAGGCAAATGAACACTTCCCCAAAACTTAGTGGCATCTGTAAACTTAGTGATGATCCATTCAATCCCCTCATCCAGATAATCAGTAAAGGCTTGAAACAGGGCTGGCCCCAAAACTGCCTCCTGAGGAGCATCTGAATTCAATGCCATTCACCACCACTTTCTGGGCCTGGCCATCCAGCCAGTTTTTTTACCCAGAGAAGAGCATACCTGTTCAGGCTATGGGCTGCCATCTCCTGCAGGAGAATGCTGTGGGAAACAGTGTCAAAGGCTTTGCTAAAGCCTGGGTAGACTACATCAAAACTTTTTCCCTTATCCAGTAGGTGGGTCACCTGATGAAAGAAGGAGATCAAGTTGGTCAAGCAGGACCTGCCTTTCATGAATCTGTGCTGGTTGGACCTAATCCCCGGGTTGTCCCTAAGAGCCCGTTTTGGCATGAATGCTTAGGAACAGTATTATGAAATACTGTGACTGCAGGAGCGAGCAGTTATGTAAAACTTACCTAACAGAGAAAACTCCTATTGCACAGTTTTACCATAGAGAATACCTGAGCTTGCCAAAGAGAAAAGATAATTCTGTTCCAAGGAGGTGTTTGCTCTTGGATGGCCTCAGGCAAGGCCAATTGAGAAGTTATCAACCATCAGATATTACGAAGAGCGGGAAAAAAAAACAACTTCTAAATGAAATTCTTGAGTGGATAGGAGCACAAATGCTTCACATTAGATAGGTCAAAAGCTAAGTGATTCGTGTGCACATAGGGGACTTTCTCAAACCATACTGCCTGCCTTCAATACAGACAGCAAAAGTCCACATTTTCTGAATGGAGTTTAAGTTCCCCCATCTACTATTGGAAGCCTAATTTCTGGCCACAGCTCATTAAATAAATCTTTGCCATAAAATAAATTGCAAGCAAACATCCCTTCTTTCAACTCACTGAAATAGATACCATGTTGAACTTCCCATTGGGTGATGTCTTTATATTTGTTGCTTTCAAACTCAGTTTGTTACTATTAATTAAATAACAAATCCGAAAATGACTTCTAAAATTATGAAAAAGCTAAACCAAATCCCTCACAACACACCCTCATGTGGTTAGTAACTGGTACCAGCACTCACAGAGCATCAAAGAGTTCTTTAAACAGAGACTTTCATCAGTGACGCTGCAAGGCTTCGTCTAATCTTTCATGATTTCCCATGCAGGAAGATCAAAAGAGAAAGAAGAGAATAGCACTGTTCCTTTGGAACAGTGCTCTGTGGGAAAAGTATATGTTTAGCTACAACGCGTGTAAAATGTAAGTGGGAAATTATTATTTACAAGAGATATATTTTAATAAACAACATCATTAGCTCCCTTTCTTTTCCTATAAGGAACAAGGATTTGTGCAGTTCAAAATCATGTCCAAAGCTCAAGAGATTTCTGGAAGAAAATGAAAAAGAATTAGAAAGTATCTAACATATAAGTCTTCAAAGCAAGAAGATCAATTTATGTTCATTTTTACTTACTGAAACACATTCTGCATATTTTATTGTTTCTGTCATCTTGTTAGAAGGCATCCAGAGAGTTTTCAAAGAACATTAAGTCCTACAAGTAAACAAATAGTGAATGGTAACGAAAGTACAAAAATGCAACAATCAATATCAGAAGTCGTGCTTGTAGGCTTTTGTTACATAAATTAATTAGATTAGTCAATCATTTTCTATTATTCTGCCACTGAGCAATAAGAATGTCAGAAGACAATCCAAAAATCTTTAGAGTTATGTTTTTCACCTAATAAATCCAAAATATATAGGTTGCTGGTATTTTAGAGCAGTGAATAATTTAAGTAGGTTTGCCCTTTTATGTATATTTTGTGTTGTACAAATCCTTGACGGCTGAAACCATTGCACATGAATATTAACACGTTAGCGTCAAAAGCAGCACAAGCTCTTTTTAGGCAATGGTTTGACTTTTCACTGTGTGTATGCCTTTGTAAAGTCACAGCCAACAGCAAGGACCTCTTTGGTCGCAGTCTGTCCAGCTCTTGACTACCTCTTGATTTTTCATACTTACGATGAGAAAGCATGCACCGATCATCACTGCCTTGATTTTCACGTCAAGATCTACTGGGACCTGGATCCCAAAGTTGGCAGTGTTGGTAAAGACATTGTTTACAAATCCAGACCAGTACTTGGAAATTTTGCCAATCGTCGACATTTCATTGAGGGCTTTTACCTGCACCAATTTAAAAATAAAATAAAATAAAAGGAATAAGCCTAGGTGTAAATAAATCAAATACGCACTGATTATATCTCCACAGAATTAATGACTCTGCCCTGACATGCAGAGTACTCTATAGTTGTCAGGCTGTTCTTTTCTTCTTGTCGTTGAAATGCTCTACGAGTGTCAGATTTGACTATAGGGATGGCATACAAGAAAGAGTCTCTCTTGCAAATTTGGAGACATCAGAATCTTCAGAGCTGACAGAAAAATGGGGGGAAGCAATTATGAAAGTTTACACCACTTTTGCTCTTCTTTCACAAGGATTTTTTTTTTTTCCAGATTCAGATATGCTCCAAGTCACAGCAGCAGCACTGCTGTGGTCTGCTGTCTCCTGCAACTGACGGATACGTTCTTGATTGCAAATTCCTCACACAATAACAAAATTAGGAACATTACCTATTGAAGTCTTCTGATGTGGCTAGAAACACAGAAGTTCTCTTATGATTATGTAACTAAGAGGAAGAGCTTTGTTTACATCAGAAAACTGTTCACAGTTTTTTCAACAGTCTCTCATTCTCTTTCATACCCTAAGTATCTCAAAGGCTCTTCCAAATTACTTTTTTTTTTTTGTCCTGACAAATGAAGATAAATGGATGCAGAATTGTCAATCCCATCCAGAAGACATCTGCAGAAATCTGCATGTAGAAGTTTGGAACTCCAGTGCACATGGTTGTGATTCTGTTCCCAAGTTATTGCAACATACGTAATGTCTTTAAGAGTAGAATGACAGGGTTTTTGATTAAAAATTTCACTTAAAGCAGCAAAACCGTAAAATTCTTAACACTCATAAGTAACATACCTCAAAGTCAACATCTTCAAAACAGCCACAAGTTGCATATGGACCAATTATTTTTAGTACATCTTCTTTACTTTCATTCTGTATTGTAAACTTAGGCAGAAACGGGTCCCAGTTCTGTACAACGTAACCAGCTACTGTACCTGGTGGGGACTGAACTTCTAACTAGCAAACAAAACAGAATAAAATCTTATAAACTAATTTTATATTAGCATGTTTTTCCATAATACTTTATAATTTATGCGATTACAAACTATTCATTTAATGCAGTTGTGTATAATTTTACCAAACCACGAATGGGACATCTAAGGCGCTTTTAAATACAGTGAACAATAGAGAACTCAAAAGCTGCACTAGAAGCTATCATTTTAAATCAAACGTAAGATTTCATAAAAGTTATACACTGTGGTGAAAAACAAAAAGCCTGTAATGTGTGAGTATCCCATAGGCTATTTTCTGCAGTAATTGTGCTACCCAGGATTCTTTCTTCTGAAAATCTGGATGCAGAACTGAAAATATAGGTAAAAAGTCTCTCTACAAAACATTTTCATAAAATAATATCTATGAATGCAAATCAAAATTAAGGAGAAAAGATCTTATTCTTGATAGGATCTGTTTTTCACTCAAAGCAGCTGATTTTTTGCAATTTTCCATGGCCTTGGAGAGGTGGAGCCCTGACACAATACACCAGCTTCCCCTGAAGCTGCTTCCCAGGCTCAGCCTGCACTGCCAGCCCCAGGAAAAGTCCCTCCTTCCCACTCTGTGCTTGCAGTGAGCGATGCACATCCACAGCACTAAGTGATGTCAGTCTAAGCTGGGTGAGCAGTGGCTCAGGGCCGCCCTAAACAGAAGGAGATCTGTGTTATCAGATGCAGGAGTCTATTTGGGATGCCCATGAGAGGCATGCTTGGCACATTACTTCTAAATTACTTCTAAAAGGGCCTTGTTTATCAATAATGGCTTCTAAAGGAAAGTCTTTGGGTTCTTCTCTCACTCAGACTGTTGCATCAGCAAGTGCAGAAGCAAAAAAAGAAGCTGCCTCCATGCAGCCCAGGCTAGGTCAGGGCTGGGAATTCCTTCCTGCCATCCTCACTGAGGTCATGCAAGGCTTAATTAATGCAGAGCACATGCAGTGAGATGCTTGAACAAAAGGCAATTAGGCAACACTCACCTCTTGCAGGAAGCAAGGGAACCAGCAGCTGTTGCATCTCAAGGGTCTATTCACTGTAATCACCTCTCGGCCAGTGTTATCAGCAATCCTTATGGTGAAAGACCTTATAGGTGAACACAAGTTACGATTGAAGCAACCATTTTCTTCCACTGCAAAGTAAACTCTTTGTCCCAAATGGTTTTTAATCTCATATTTGCTGCAGGTCTCTGTGCCAAGTATGGCTAAAAAAGCCAAACAAGTTGGATGTTACCTTAGCATAAGATTAGATTACAAAGAGCCTCTGCCAAGACTCACCGAATTCTGCTCTGCATACATATTTACAGCTGCAGTCTTCTCTGTGGTATTTACTCTAAAAAACTATGAACAGAGACTGTTTAAAAATTGTTTTTAAATGGTGACATAAAGAAAACGTATGATAATAATGTAATAATCGTGTCAAGTTCTATTTTGAAAGAACATTTAGATCAAAGACTTTAATCTGCCGTAAACTGCAGTACATATCACAAAACAGAATTCATACACTGAGTTTTGGTTTTGGCTTTTCTTCGTCTGTACACTGTGAAAAATATTGATACAAGGTTATCCCACTTCAACGACACAACTTTCACTCAGAGAGGTGCCCAAGAATCAGGCCAAAACTTCTCGAATAGGAGAAATACAACTGAGGAATACATTTTAAGGTGTTTTAATTGTTGAACATGAAATTTTGCAGAACCATGTAAATCAAACTATAATGCTGTATTTAATGCTTTCTGATCTTCCTTACTTTCTTCACTTGTAGCACATTCATCATTGTTTAAGACAATAACCATCTTTCCAATCCATGGAAAAAATTGAATCTCTAGTAACTTTGAGGGAAGGATTTTAGGGCTTGGGCACTGTAACTTTCCTCTCTTCATCTCACCACACTAACACCATGCTGGAAGCCTGATGGAAGGTCAGCATGAAGCTGGGCTTGGAAGCCCTTTAGAGACAGCAGTAGTTGGAGCACAAGAGTTATTAACAGCATACCTTCAAGGAGCTCCACCTGCTGATGAATAATGATCCGGTCAAGCTGTTTCAAAAAGAAAGAACAAAAATATAAGCTAGTGGGTGTTAGAAGGTCTGAGGCTGCTGGTGATCACCTGTCTCTTTGCATTCCATTCCTTCCAGAGTTCCCCAAAGAAACCCCCTGCTTGAAACCATCCTCACCTGTCATTTGGTTACAAACTGCCACTTTTCTGTGCTTACTGTCCCTCCGACATGCTCTGCTTTAGGAAATAATAATTAGTATTGCAAAACCTTAATTTCAGCCTACCTCCCAACGTTATGTGACTTTTTAATGTATGTTTTATGTGCATTTTAGGCTTTGCTGGTTTCTTCTCCTTAAATTCCAGATGGGCATCAGACGCCTAATGCTGAATTTTGCCATTACTCACAGCTGAAGACAGAAAGTTCATGACAGACATCTCAGACCTGCATGTCACAGCTCTCCAGCATATGTATATTTCACAATTGATAAATATTGTCTTGTACACATTCAAACTGTTGTAGCAATTTATCAGTTCCAGTCATCTCCTGCAGCTAGTTCAGACAGCAAAGAAAAGCTGGTAATAAATAAACTTCCAGATCCCTTTCATTAATCTCTAAAATGTGCATGCCAGTAATTGAAATAATAAAAAATATTTGGACTTAAAAATCTTCTCCCAAGAAGCTTTGCTGTTTGTCATTTAGATTTCATGAGATATGAGAAGCCTTGGAGCTCATGGGAAGTTAGTGCAGAGCTCTGCTGATGAAAAATGAATAAACAGGTTAAAGATGGCAGAGCTATTTTAATATTTCAGTATTGATTTTAATATGGATTTCTTTCCCCCACACAGGCTTTCACGGAGGAAAGAAAAATAATGAGCTTGAACTGCTAAAAACTTAGAGTGATTTTGCACTGCATATCAGTTTGTTGTGAACAAAGCATAGGCAATGTTTAGCCAACAGGCAGCACCATTTGTTTGACTTGTTTGTTTTGCCTTGTTTCTGAAAGGCAACCATTCTGATGCATCTTTCACTGAGGCACTCGTGGATTAAGGAAATTCTGCGTTTGTATTTGAAAGCATGGAAAGCCCTTTGCTTTACATAGGTCTCAGTACTCTTGAGCTCTAATGTGCTAAAATTCCTTATGCAAAGCTAACTCTTAGCATTTAGTTTTGTGGGCATTAAATTTACAAAACATCAGTCTGACCAAGTCTAAACTAAGAAGCTTCTTACAAAACTGGTAAAGCCTGAATTATTGCACAACACAAGGTTGAGCTGCTTGGAAAATTCTCACGTCTCTTCTATCTATTCCTTCTCTGGGCAAAGGGTGATCCATCACTTTTGAAGTGGATCCCACACAATTCCCAGAACTACAGCTTCAATCTGAAAGTTAATCACATTTTTTCGGGTAACCTGTTTTGTAGTAAATTATTTAGAGCGTCACTTTTGTGATGATTATAGAAAGCAAGTTCAGCAGGGCAGAGGCAGTTTATCGCCAGGCTCTGAAGCACCTCAAAGAGCCAAACCCATCGCTCCTCAGCCCGACTGACTTCAGTGTGCATTTGCATAGTGACAGATGTTTTCTGTTCCTCTCACCCAGTGCTACACGCTGTGCCCTAGAGTTCCTGTTTAGCATAACGCTGTGGGGATCTCTACGAGATTCACTGGGGCTGGATCCTGCTTTCAGAGGCAAGTATGTTATGGCCTTATTAAGAAATATATTCAACTTTCTCAAATAAAACTATCCAGCTATCTTCCCTGCTCCTGCTGGAGATAATCCCAGAACCTCATTTCTATTTGTTATCTTCTATTTATTCACAGCCACTTTCTATATAATCCTTCTTCTGTTGAAATCATTCTTTAAAACAATGCCTTTTTTTTTTTTTTTTTTTTTCCCCCCACAGGTTGTTTTCCAGGGATGACAGCTGTCAGAGTTCCTTCTCTGATAGAATTTTACTTTAAATAAAAATGAAAAAATTGCAGTCCTGTTTTAAAGCAAGTTCTCTATTCCCTGCGCCCTTTAGATGTCACTTCTCTGTGCCTCTGTGTGCTCCAATTGGGAACCCACATCCATAATGCACACAAAACCAGAAGCAAACATGGTATGCTCCATCAAAAATCCCCAGTTCAGCTAGAAATACTTTCCACCATTTATATGAGAGGTTCTGCCTGCAAGTTCTGGTGCAGACCGTGGGTTTCCAGGTCTTCCTCTGGCCAGAAAAGGGGACACTGAGGGCCAGGCTGATGCCCTACCTTCACAAATGCAGTCTCACAGGGACCCAAACACACAAGGACCAGGAGTCATCTCAGGAGTGAACTGAGAGTAATTAGTAAGGGCTGCAGCACAGAGACATGGTTATTGAGCTGAGAATGAAGACTTTATGTCAGATGTAATCCTTTCATAAAATGGAGTAATAGAATTTGCTTACCCACGTTGTACAGATAAAGGTAAGGTGTAATTCGTGTTCATGCAGAAAGCTGAATGTGTTACCTGCCAAGTATTGACTATCACAATCACTTTTCAACTAAAAAATGTAGCTCCACAGTCTGTGAACAAATGCTCCTGTAATTGACAACACATATCATTTTGTGCACAGGCTCCATGAAATGAAAATCATAACTCCACATGAAAGATGGTTTCTGAAAGGTCTCCCACTTTTGTTAACTGTCTTATGTTCCAAATAGAAAATGCATTCAATTTCTGCCTCTATACAAAACTACAGAAAAGCATATTTTAAATACAGCCCTCAAGTCATGCATCAGAATCACAGCCTCATAACTAACTACTCCTCAGCTCCCTCTTCTCTGCTGTACACTGTTTGGGCACTGCCCCTTTTCTGCCTCACAGCCCAAAACAGAGGTGCAAGTTTGCAGCTACTCAGGCTTTCTCTTCATCAACTTGAGAACTTGCTTCTCCCTCTCAGCTGGAGAGCTTTGTCCTTGTGGGCACGAGGAATTTGCTCCAAAGACCTCCATGTTCCTCAGGGAGAGGGGTGTGATTCCCCCACACTGCTGGTTTTAATCAACCAAACAAATTCTGAAGTCAGCCAGGAATTTGGCACTGGTTTCCCTTAAGGAGCTGGAAAGAAACTGGAGGGACAATGAGAGGTGTCATAGTATGACTTAGAAAAAGTCCTAGAGAGAAGAAAATCATGTCTGGGGGCAAGGAGAGCTGCATGCACAGCAAATGGATTTCTGCAGAGATGAATAGCAGCAATGAAAGAAGAGCTTATAATTTGTACATTCTTTATCTTATAGTAAATGTCAAACAACAGAAAAGCCTCTCCATATCCAGTTTCCCCTCCCCAAGAAAAAACCCCAAACACTCCCACCCCTCAACTACCAAAGGAGTCCATGATGAAACAGAACAGTTCCAGCACTGGGAAAGATTCTGGACCTGGTTCAGGTACTCCAGTCCAGGTGGTAAGTTATGCGTGTGTGAGGCTTGCTTCCAGGGGCCTGCAGGCTCAGCAGGCTTGTCCTGCTCTGGCAGGTCAGAAGAACCAGGGAGGTAGTCCTTAAAGACTGGGTTTGTTTGTCCTTCAGATTCTGCAGGGGGAAAAAAAAAAAAAAAAAAAAAAAAAAAAAGAAGAAGAAAAAAAAAAGAAATGAGCAGTGCCAAACAGCAGCCGGTAGAACTGGGACACCAGCATCACATTCTGCCTGTGCCTATACCAGCATCTAAGCTCAGATGAGCAGCAAGCACCTTGGCCGTCTGCTGCAAACTGGTCTCAGTGCCAGCACCTTCCCACCGCTGCAATAACACTGGCTCTGCTCGTGCAGCACGTGCCAGCTGCAGCTCTCAGCACATCTATGGTAAGTCCTCGCATTAACCAAGCCCCTCCGCCTCGGCAGCAAACAGTCACCAAACCATCTTTATCTCCTACGTGACAATACTCAGGCATAGCACGGACTGAGCTCCAGAAGGAATTTTGGGTTTAGGTCTGAAGCTGCCTTTTGCAGTTGTGTGTTTAATTGAGGTCCTTTAGCTTTATTTGAACCCACTGTGGCTGATTCATCGTTTAATCATATTTTGATCTTAATTTGCCTTTGCAGCCACTGCTTTCCTTCAAAGCCAGAGACCACAGGAGGAAGAAGAAACTCCTTTGAATTTGTAGCTGGCTTTTAAAAATGTATAACTGGCAGATAAATATTTTATATGCTCTTCTGCATCATTTTACCTCACAGGGTTCTGTTACTGCCGTAACTCTTGTTGTTACATGAAATGCCACGAAGTGGCCGAGTGTTAGTGTTATTCTCAGATAATAAAAAGGAAAAAAGACAACAAATTGCAGTTCTACCTGTCAAATTTTAAGCTATACAAAAATCAAACGTAAATGCATTAAATATTGATGACAACCTAAGCTACTTTGAGGCTTTGTCTATTTTCATGGCTGCTTCCTACTTCATTTACAGTGCAGGAGAACTTAAAAGTTACGACATGATGCAGTGAGCAATCTGCAGAGGTGCTGGTTCCTAACAGAAGCATATTACCAAGTTCCTTCGTTATGAAAACTGTATTACAGAACATGACTATTTTGTTGCTCTTGTTAAGTACTGTGCATTAAAATATACAGAACCAGATCTCTTTTACATGGCTAAATATAAGCAAAACGTATACTTTTCCCTTTGGGGAAAAACGTATATTCCAAGAGTACAACAATGCTCTAAAATCCGTTTCCTGCTGCATAACTTCTAGTGCTATAAATACTGAAATGTCTGAAGTATCTGGTGGGGGAATAAAGGGATAAGTATTACTTTGCTGGAGCTCCCTGGGCCAGCATCTGCCTCCGTACGTCACACCAGGGCAATCCCTGTGGGGTTGCATTCAGCTAAGAAAAAACAGATTTGTGTCCTTCTGCTTAGCTTTTGGATTTGACTGCATGGAAAAAAATGAATGCTGATGGCTTGTGAGAGCAGCATATTCCCGTGTTTATCTACAGCCCTGAACAGCCAAGCGCTGCAGCTCAAAGAGAATACGTGACAGAAATTAACCTAGAAAGAAGTAATCTGGTTGCATTCATTTATTCTTCAGATATTTATTTTTCCTGCAAAACTCTAGTCAGTTTTGAAAGTGAAAAGCATTTGCTGATTTCATATTTTCAGAGTGGAATAGGAAAGAAGTGCGAAATCTGTGTGAATCTTGGATCAGAATGTGCCCTTCCCATGCAGACCATACTGACAGGTTTAAGCACAAAGATACAAGCACCATTTCCTGACTGAATGTAGATACAAACATTTTGTAATGCACTTTATTCAAATAACACTCCAGTATAGATTTTAGTCTCCTTAGGAGCCTCTTGAATACTGAAAAATTAAAAGAAGCCCAAACAACCGTGCTTTGGCTGCTGTGGTTTTAGCCTGAAACTCTCATTTCATCAGACTGCTGATTGCTGGAAATGTACAAGACTGTAGTTTTCTGTAAACATGATCTAAAAATAAGGACTATAGATGCACTTACCTTGAGAGGCCATGAAGCTTCCTGAGTTACTTCTTCAAAGGAAGCCAGGTTAAAAGAAAAGGCTTTTCTTGTTGCAGCAAAGAAAAAAAGAGCACAGCATGCACAAAACTTCAGAAGGTGTCTGTCTACTTCATATCAGCTTACAAAGAACTGGAGGAAACGTATTGCCTTTCTCATGTTCCAGAACACTGCATTTTATGTCGATGGACAACAGGGGGAGATGATGCTAGCAAACAAGAAAAACATTATTCATTTCAAGTCGTTTGCACCAATGGAAAGAGGAAGAAGTGTTTTGTGCATACAAAGAGGTAAAACTTCGATGTACCCACTGGGAAACAGAACGCATTAAAGCTGCAACTCCACTTTATAATGTATGTATGTATTCTGTGACTATACAAATTCTGCCTTTATAATTCAATATTTATGTTTCGATTTCTGCAGGTATGCTGCAAGGACAGAGGAGATGTTACCTGCATCTTCCCACTGCTGGCACCCACACAACACATCTCGTGCTCGGAACAGAATGGGCTGTGTGGGCTTTTTCCCTGCACTTCCCTGTGGGGCTCAGTCTCCCCTCCCCAGGACTTCACCCCCGGGAACAGCTCCATGCAGCCCCTCCACACCCCTTGGGCTTCACTGCTGATCACTGAGAAGTGCTTAAACAGACATGGAAAGTGAAACGGGCTGTCTGTGTCCTGCTGCGGGCGAGCATCGTCCATGCCAACACGTAACGCACAATTACCCGCATTGCACCGAGAGCAAAGAGGGAGGAGGGAGGATAACCTTGACTTACCAGCTCATATTTCTACCTCGAGTGCCCAAGTCGCCATGGAGATCATGCACATGTGAGCTGCAGACAGATATGATGCATGGCTGCAAAATGGCAGAGCCTAAGCAGAGCGCACGGAGGAGCAGGGCGAGGTGTTGGGGAGCATTTCTGCTCTGCTGCTGCAGGTCCTGACACTTGGGAGCAGTCCACAGAAGCACACAGAGCAGATTTATATCTCTGGAGGGCGCAGCTCAGGGAGATACTGATGAGGATCTCTGAAAGAATACGTGCAAGAAGGAACACAATTTGTATTGGGTTTATTAGTAAATGCAAAGCCCACAGTGGAACATGTGAAAATTTGGCTGTGTAAAACTGCCTGGGAGCTTGTCATTGGGCACTGAGAAGTCATGGAGCAGTGCAGCCCTATTCACAGACATGGGAAATTTGGTTGCTGAACAACTCTGCACTGAACAAATCCTTTCAGATTGGGAAGAAGTTTCCCATCACAGGAGATAAAGACTAGGAATGACTAGAAGTTTTTGCTTCTTTCTCCTTGTCAAAGATGTGCTTCTTCAGAGCAGAAGATCTAACCTGGGGAGCAGGCACAAAGCTCCAGCAAACTCCCTGAAGAAGAAAGGGAGAGGAAAAGCCCCAGGTAAATATCATAAACTTTTCAAACGTAACTTTGAAAGTGGTGGATGAAAAATTTCAAAAGGCAGCTTGGGTACAACAGTCACCCAACCTTAACAAGGAAAATAGTTTGCTTTGCCTCTTGGAAAACCACTCCAAAAACATCCCAGTACTTTTGTCAATGCATAAAACAAGAGGAGGGCAGTTGGAGAAATGTGCCCAATACAAAAAAAAAACCCCACATGCTAAGAGGTATATACTGAAGAAAAAGGTTTCAAATATTCACAGAGCATTTTCTGAGAGCTCCAAACAATGCTCAAGCCTGTCCCCACCAACACACTGTGCCTGCAGCGGGATCCCTGACCTGGACAGTGGCAGTGGAAAGGAGAGCAGAGCTGAGGCACGTGTGTGGGCTCTTTCCAGGAGCACCATGGTAGCCGGGGCAGGTCCAGATGTGAGCAGGAGTCAAGCTTCAGTGTTCCGCTGCTCATGAAATTAACATTTCTCTGGAGTGTTTCTGCCCCAAAGAACTCATTTCCTGGCATTATTCACAAAATTGCAGTAAGTGGGTAATAGGAAGACATAAAACTTGGCTTGAAGTATATTTTCTGTGTTTGTTTGGTTGTTTTTTTTTCATTGCTTTCATAAATTTCCGTATCTTTCACAATGCCCCCTTCTTACCTTATTGTTTTAGACTGAAACAATCATTCCAGTAGATTGTATCAATTGATTTCTGCAGGATCTGAAAACGAATCCTGCATTGAGATAAGTCTTTACAATTAAAATTGTGTTATTTAATCTCAGTTTATTTTTTTTTTATTAAGCACCCACATGTTGGTCTAAATCTGCTCCAGCTGTGATTAAAGGCAGCCTCACTGAGGACTGCAGGAACAGAAATCTTAATCGTACTTATCCACAAATGCAGCCATCCTTTGGTGCTATTTAAAAACACATAGGGAAAAACTACAAGCAAGGGAGGGACATACAGACAACTAATCACGTACAACTAATTCTAGCTGACTTTTAAGGAATTCCACAAGCTGAATGGCAACACCCAATTTCTGCCAAGACACTGAGCTCAGCCTTATCGCACCCCACTGAAGACATCGGGATCACTGCCTACATTTGTTCTACTGCAGGGAGACTGAATAATAGGAACAGAGCATGCTCCCTTCTTCTGGGTGATGGTGCTGGACACCTGCAACACATTCACGGGCTGTGACCACCAGGCCAAAGTGCTGGGAGAAAAATAGGAGACAGCAGCAAGGTTTAGAGTATGAGAGAAAGCTGTTTGTTTCTGGAGGTCAAGGCATGCTGTGCCATCCAAGAGCAGACTGCAGGGTTCTTGCCTATTCACATCAGTTCAGTCTGCACTGCCAGCAATTCCAGAGCTTCCTGACTGCTAGGAAAAGGAACAACTAATGCCAATTTCAATTTTAAGTTTCCTTTCCCTAAAATATCTATTGTCACCAGCTTTAATGTCTTACATTGTCCTTTTCCATTTTTATAGGAAATTATGTGGCCTTCCATCTTTCTTAGATTACCCTTTAGCATAAGAAGAAACACTGCATGAGCGCAAGAATCAAATGTAACTGTGCAGTAAGCTCCAACCTGCAGATTTTTACATAGTATTACACTCTGCACTGAAAAATGTGTATTAGAAATTTTAATACTACCCCCAGCATGTGTTGATGTGGGTCAGAATCCAAGCATAGATGTTAGCAAACCTAGATGCCAGCAAATACGGTAACCAACTAGAAATTTTTCAAGTAGCTTCCATACCCATATATTGACCCAATATATGGAAAAGACTGAGCTCAACAGCAGACCCAAATATTTCAGTTTGAATCCTATTAAACGTGGTTAAGAAAATGTGACCATGAAGATGTTGGTTTATTTAAGCAGACTGATGTGATTTAAGCAAAAATAAGTCAATAAATGGGTAGCATGGAAGACCTAAAGGTACCTTGTACCAAACTCCTTTAGAGCACGCTCAGTGTTCATTAGGTGTGTAGCTCTGGCACCCTCTCAAGGGGTGCAGCTATTGTAAAATTATTAGTAAAATTAAAATGATACATCGTAAGATTATCTCCACTGCATCTTTAGAAAGTCACTACTCAACATTCTAATTCCAAATTCAAATTAAATCAAATGTGGTTTTTTTTTTTCACTTTTAGGAGGGAACAAAGAAGAAGAGAAAGGGATAAGATACCCATAGAATTGAATGACATAACAGTAACTCTATTAGGACATCAAAATTAATTTCAGTTTCCCCGAGGTATCTTATTTTAATTAATAAATTCACAATCCTGCTCTATTAATTAGAATAATAGGTTTCAGACGAACTTATTTCTAATAAAGCTTTTCATAATGTAAAAAGAATAAAAGAAATTAAGGACCTCATTCAATTTTTCTTCTACATCTAGTAGCAACATTTAAGTTTTTTATCCAATGCTACAGCAAAACTATTGCTCAAATTTTAAATTTGAAAACCTTTGGGTTTTTCATTCACTGTTTTTCTCACGCTCTGACTATTGAAAGGATAACAACGGCCTGCTTACCAAAAAAAATAGTTCTTGTGGGATAACAGTTATTTTCATTTCTCATATTATTTCCTACTATTAAAGCTGATAAGCCATGGATTTTTAAAAGTCCTTCTTTACTGCTTTCTTTCCAACAAACTCACAAAACAGCACTTACAAAATTCTACAAGCTTCTCAGATGATGTTTTGCAGCTCGGGTTACCTGGGCCATTTGATGGTCACCAAGGCTGCCACGCTAAGGCTCAAATCACACTTTTACGCATGCTAATCCACTCTTCTGCACAAATCAGCAATAGATATGGAGAACTGAATCTTTTTCTCCCTAAATTGTTTTACGTTTCTGTCTTTTTGTATCATAGTTCACTCACTGGTGGAAAATCAGAGCATTTCCCATTTTTTCTCCAGTTGCCAGAAATGATAAAGATGTACTTTAGATAACTGTGAAGCTCTTTTCAGATTTCTGTTACATGAAACAAGAAGGGAGAAGAAAACATTAGCTAACTCCCAAAGGTTTAGGTTAGCAAAATAAGAAAAATTCTGCGCAGGTGAAATGGATGCTCACCATTTCAGAACTGTTTGTCCCATACAGCCTGTTCCTTTCACTTAGCACACTGAGGTGTGTGGTTAGCAAACACGGTGGCATTGGGCTGATGGTTGGACTGGGTGATTTCAGCGGTTCTATGGTTACCTAACCAGAGCAAGAGAGGCCAGCAGTAAGTTATGCACAACTTGTCCAATTGGTACATCTGAGTAGCATTTTGTTTAGACAGGTTTCAAATTGACAGGCTGAATATTTTCCCCACTTTACTGAAGAACAGAAGTGCTTTTTTCACACAGTAATCATACTAATTTATTCTAATACTTACATTTTAAATACAATAGAGAGGGGAAAAGTTAGGATACGAAGAACTAGAAAAATTTAATGAATCATAACAGCAAAAAATGAGAATAATCAAGTATTGGATGAAATTCCACTCTCACTTACTCCAGCAAAACAGTTCATTTCTGGTGACTAGGATATGAATGTAGTCTCTTCTATATTTTTTTAGACAAAGAATTATACATTTTATA